CCCCGCCTCGGTGGGAGGCGCCGGAGGCACGCGAGCAACAAACGTTGATGTTGGGTGCTGCGTATTGCTTTTGAAGCCAGTTCATGCGGGAGAGTTCGCGTGGGAGAATTAGGGCCCTAAGCTTTATTTTTTCACCGTTTTTTTGTTCGAGAGTGTTTTTTAGTACCTTTCCCCTAGTCTTTTATCTGCAAAATCCTCTTCTCGTCGTATGATTTCAAGCTGTCTCAATTGTCTAAAATTATTTCTCTGTGGTGAGTGTCTGTGGGGTCGCGATGCTCTCGCTACGTCAGAGCTGCGATGCCTGGCAGAGCCCCCTGCTCATCGCTCACGGAGCCTCCTTGCGGTAACCTGCATTTCCTGCGGCACAATCGCAGTTGGAACGATCGCCTTTCAGGACGATAAATCGTTACTGATACTTCAGGATTCGCAAAAATCTATGAAAGTGGTATATGAAAGACGAAAATATTATTCTCTTCATCAGTAATTGTTTGGTAACTTTTATAAATGTATATTAATTATTTTAAATTAAAAATACTCGATAAATGAAGTGAAGGATGTGATAGTCACAAATACTTCAAATTGTGATAGTGCGTGATGTGACATATTTGTAACGAAACTCTCTGGGGTTCGTTTTCTCCCTTCAGGCGACTAATTACGTTTATAGGCAAAACATGACCTCCCCCGAGTTACGTGGTTCATCCATACATTTTCCATTTATGCATACCTCATTCACGCTAAAGTAAGATGACGGTTTCCGTACCATTTATAAGAAAACATCCACAAAAAATCGTAAGTTTTTACAGTTGGATACGCAATTACCAGACAGGTTCGCATCATGTAGATTTAAGACGAAAATAATGCAAGTTCGCAGATTGTGACATCAGGGAAGTAACAATCGCAGATCACACGTCATGCGGCAATATGCGTTATCATTGTGAATTTCTCAAAAACGATGCCCCCAAAATCCGTAAAACCTAGAGATTCCATCCTTGAGGTACACGAGTTATGATTCTTACGCCGCTCTCTACACAATGAGATCTTTTTAACGCTCTATTGCATTAGTGGAGTTTTCTCCTACTTCCTGGCACGGGTTGTTATTCTGAAATAGGTTTCAGTATGAAGCGGTTTTCATTTTCAAAACACTTTTCTACTACGTGACAAATGCTTGCACGAGCCCACCTAATTAATAATCGGTAACAGATTAAATAAAACTATGTTTTACTTTATTTTAATTTTTTGTGTCACATCAGTTTTTTTATTTCTTCTTTTGCATGAAGTACGTTCACTGCCACTCACAAAATAAATTAATAATCGTTAGAAACGTACGTTCCCAACTTTCCCCAAGAGCTCTGACAGAACCGGCAAATACGGTAGGGGCGGTGACGGGGCGGGGCAGGTCCCTCAGTGGGCTTTGTGCGCCTGTCGGTCGCCTCGCCTCGCCTCGTGGTGGGCCGCGCTTATGTTAGCGTCGTTGTGTAGTGAATTTAACCTCTTCCACTTGGGGCGGTCAGAGGAAATGATTTGAAATGTTTATTTCATTGTTGTGTATTTAACAAAATAGCATTTAAATCTTTTTGAAAATAAGGAGATACCTAAGTTTACATTGAACCCTCGATATCTCGAAAATAAAAAATTTGAATATATAATAATTTAATTTATCGAGATTCGAGATGGATGTAAACGGAAGGTGAAAGACAAATGACGAAAATTGGCATAAATGTGTTCCTTATTATCCGTTGGGTAGCTAATGACTTTTTTAAATCTCACGTTTTGGCTTCCAAAACAATCGAATGTACAACCACCCGGCCCCTTCTGACGGTGGTTCAGAGCCAGGAAAGGTGGGTGTGCGCTTTTGACAGTAGCACAGGCTTTAGGACCTGCCTGTGTACTGTGATGCTATTTGGTCAGTTTTACTTACGCAATTTCGTGGAAGAAGGATCGTCAGTATTTCTTCTTGTATTCTGTTTTTAATGTGCTTCCAGAAATCACCTCGGTATCTGGAAAACGAAGAGGAAAGAAAAAAATTCGTGTGGTCGAACACTTTCAGAAATAGGGATGCATTTGCCAAATGGACACGTTGAAAATCCTATATAACAGGGATTTTGAGTAATCAAAATACTACGGTAAAATTAATGTCTTTGAAATAAGTATTTATGCGCTGAATCTTTTACGAGAGAAGATTACGACTTTCTCCGATTCGAAATCTTTCGTCCGCCGCCTCTCTGACACCGTCAGAGACCGCAGCCAACACACGCACGTGCAGGGGCCAGGCGGGGCGGGGTATGACGCCAGCCCGTTGGGGACCCTCTTGCAAGTTCTCCCCGCTCCGGCACTGCCCGGCCGTGGGTCGCGTGTTGGCGGAGGATCTAGAAACTGAGGAGTTAGCGAAGACGATATTGTGCATAACGAAGTTTGAGTAACCACATGTTAGAAATGAGAAATCGAAATGTTATCAAGAATTTCGTGTCATCGATTTTCTGCTATCAACTAACAACATTTTTGCTTCCTTTGGGATCGCAAAGGAGTTGCGATCTTCTTCCTAAAACAGAAAGCCAGCGTCCGTTTTTTCGCCGGCGGTGACAGCCAGCGAAGGTAGGCGTGCCAACGCGTGCCGCCAACGAAAGACGGGCAGTTATGCCGGCAGCTCGTAGTTGACCTGCCTCCTGGCGATTCGGTCCGACTGCAGTGACCGCGGGACGTATCTTGGGGCATCTAGAAAAAGGAAAAGGAAAGAAAACACGTCGGATACTTCAACATGCCTAAGTTGGAATTGCCGGATGTGAAGGGAAGGCGTGAAAATATAAGTTGACAGGAAATTTGCGTTGTCGAGAGTTTGCAGAAAATATGTTGAAAGTTTAGAATGAATACTTTTGCCCAGAATTATTTTCTGAACTTGCACCAAATTCCGCCTCCTGCAAACCGGCAAACCCGTGCGTCGTTTCTCTCACACCGACGACGACAGCCAACGAACACACGTGTGGCGGCGGGGCGCGGAGGGGCGGGTGTGACGGCAGCCCGTTGTGTGCCCGCCCGCTCGCGGGGCGTATGTTGGCGGCGCTAATTTTGGCGGGGGTCGGCGGGCGGCGTCGGGTCGGCTTCGCCCGCTTGTGCCGGCCAGCCAGTGTGTTCGAAGGACGCGCCGCGCCCAGCAGCTCCGAGAACTCCGTCGCCCACTTCGTCTACCCGTCCGCCCGCCCGCGCCGCCGTCTGTCCGCCTGACAAGCTCTGTGACGCCCGCCGGCCCCTCGACTTCGCCGCCCCGTTGCGCCAACAGGTGAGAGAGAGAAGAAGACGTCGCCCTCACGTAGCACTTGTCATGAGAGAAGGGTGTGTTCGTTGCGGATGGCAACAAGTGGTGTCGAAAATAGATTCTTTCTTCTTGGGCGTCCAGGAGAACTTCTGTTATCCAGAAAAAAGTATTTGTTTACTTTTTCGTCCAATTTATGGCCGTTTTAATTTTACATATGTTCGTATTCTTTCTTTGTTCCTCCGTGACTTCTGTCGCAGATTTCTCTAGCACTGAAAAAACGTCTTGTAACAGGTGTGTTTATACAAGTCCAATCGTAATTTCCAACGAATCTGTCCAGTTTCTTCCAACTAAATTGAAATCATGCAATAGAACGCCTATTTTCTTTTGTTGGAATGTAATTTTCGAGCCGCACCTGTCATTGCTTTCATTGAAAATAAAAGCGAATCCAAGAGTTATTACGGCGCGTCTTCTGCGAAGGCCTGGCCCAGCCGCGAACCGGAAAGTGCTTCCTAGTCATAAAAGTCGAGTGTGGACGGGATGAAATAACTGCGGCCTGCCAGCGCCCTCTCGAACATTCGTGGCTCGGGAGTGGGAAATGCATCGTCCACGGCGTAGTTGCCCCTGCAAATTCCGACGCAACCCGCGCCATGGCTATGTGTTGCGTATTTTCGTTCAGTAGGCGCACTCGCCCAGTCTGTCTTGTGCAACGGTCACTTGTTTTGTCAACACTTCTAGTTCGTCTTGAGCCACTGTAGACGTGGCTTTGTTTGGGCAGTCGATCTCAAAATAACTTAGGATGCGGAAGTGGTACGATTATTATAAGCAGTGAGGGAGTGAGGATGTTCTTTGTTAGCATTCATTTCGAATCTTTTGTTTTCACTCAGAGACTTAGAATTCTGCAGTTTTGCGTTGTTGCTAGTTGCTACGTTGTACTCGGCAGTATTTTTTGGGGGGAGAGGTTATTTACTGAACACATCATCCCTTCGACTCATGTTATGTAGTTCAAAACTGTTGCTTGCGTCATTGAGGTGAGTTGTTGGAGACGGTCGATTTCTCTGTTTATCCTGAAAACGGATTTTAGCTCATTGAAAATTTAACTATGGAAAATTACGAATTATTATCTTACAAATAGTTTTTGTACTTTCTAATTTTTATAATAATTTTTTCCTACCGATATTTTGTAAGTAATATTATTAGAGAATCGCAGTACATACCCTGATACTATGCAAGAAATGTTTGTGCGGTGTCTACAATTTTTATTGCAAAACCAAATTCTTAGCATTTTTGGTAAAGATAATAACTTTAATAAATAAAAAACTATACTTTTAAATGTTACATGTATTTTCTTTATTATTTTTGCTCATAGACTAAAAAAAATATTTAGTTTTGAGTTCAGAACGTCGATTTCCTTTTGCAGACAGAGCAATGTAATTAAGCGAACAAACTAAACCGCATTCTTCACCCCCACCCAATAGTTTGTCACAGCTGTTGGCAACAACAGGTGGCAGATAAAAGCGTAGAGGAGGGGTTACACAATGAGGAGCGCGAGCTAAAAGGAAGTTGTAACGCGTGAAGCATCTTGGCAAAACATTCGCACAGATATTATTAATCATGCGCAACTGGAGGGGAACCATCACTTGATATGAATTAAATGTAATCGGTGATGAAACAATTTGTATTGCACATGTCGTTTTGATTTGAATTGAGTTAATAATCGAAATGAAACATATGTTCGCTAGCTAGCTATGTTAATTAGAGCTAAATGAAAACTACTCTGGATAGCGAAAGAAGTTCAGGGATAATGCAGTTTGCAATAAGCGGAAAGTAAATTAAAGAACGGCCTCCCTCTCAGAGGCGTTTTGTGGTTGGTTGCTTGGTGTAATACCATCCTTTCCTAATGCTGAGCTAGATATTTTCAGGGAATTTTATTCATGATTAGTGATGCAGGGAGTTAACATTACAAAACTTCAGCAATCTTACTAAATTATTACTAGAGAAATAATCTCTGGTTGTAAAGCAATTCGAATAATAAATTAATTATTTTCTTCGTTTATTCCTTTATTTTAATTATTCTTAATTATATTGGATGATCCCATAAATATTATATCAGCTGGACCAGATTTAATATATTATGTCCGAGGAAATGTAAAATAATCAGGCCAGGATTATGATATGAACAGAACATCTAGAAAATCTACACTAAGCAGAAGCATTCATTTTATGGACTTATAACTTTTCATCCTGATGTTGAATAAAAACAACGGATTTACACATAGAAAAGTAATTCTGATATCTCGGGTTGGTGGAGTGCCGCATGAATGAATTGATGTCCTGGAAAATCATGTGAAGGGACCCGAGTGTTGCGCTGCTTCACACTTTTACAAAAAACTTTTGCCGGGAGCCACGCAAGAAAGAAAAAGGAGAAAACAGGTGGAGGGACGGGAATGGGAGGAGTCGACAGGAACGGGCCGGGCAGGGGTAGAACCGGACCGAAGCGGTAAGGGCCCGCGAGGGAAGGGGCGGATGTGTGGCACGCGGCGGAGCAGGGGGGGGCGTGACAAAGAGAAAGAAGATGCCGCTGCTAAATAGGCCGTGGCGGGCGGGGTTCGCGCGCGCGGGGGCGGACAAATGGAGTGTTTGGACGCGCGGCGCACGGGCGGGCGGGCCGCGCGCGAGGGCGTTGGTCGGGGGTGGCGCCCCTGGGGGGGGGGTGCGGGGCGCCGGTTGCATCCGCGGGGGCGTTACGGTGCAAAGCAGCGCACAACGCCGCCCGCTGCACTCGTCGCCCGCCCGCCCGCCCGCCGCGGCGCAGTGTTCGCCTATTTACGTGGCCGGCGCTTCCGCCCTGCTTTTCGGGGCGCAATCGCTATTTAATTCCCCCCACCTGCCCAGCCGCGACGCCTCTAATCAGGCGGGCAGGCGCTCTATGTATATTTAGCGCCCTCTCGGCGGGGGAAGGAGACAACTTGGTGCGAGCGGGCCCGCGCGCTTGCAGGGCGGGGCGGGGCGGGGCGGGGCGGGGGGCCCTGCCTGCCCTGCGCCCCGTTTCGGCCCTCCGCGCCTCGCCGCGCTTGTAAGGCAGCGCGCGGGGGGCGCCGCGTGGTTGTTCGTGTCATCGTAAATCACTTCCGCGCTAGCTGGCCCCCCACAAGCCCTTGCATGGGGTGAGGCGGAAAGAAAGGGCGTGCTCCACTAGAAATAATAATAAATAATAATAATAATAATAATAATATAATAATAATAAGAATAATAATAATCAATTTAGTAAACCGTGCTTAAATATCGAATTTAATGTATTCCCAGCACTGATTGTCATTAATTCGCCTTGCGTAATGGTCAAAAAGAATGTGTGTGATATTTATCCGAATTATGTTTTTTCATCTGTGTTTTTTTAGTCTAAAGAAAAAAATCTATCTTTTTTAAATCAGTATACGTCAACATTTGAAAATTAATGTTAATTTATAAGTTTTGAAACATTAGTTTATAATTGAGGTTGTCAGGTCGAACAGCGCGGGTTGAAAATTATTTAAGCAATACGGACACAAAAAATTAGGTAGGGTCATTAAAGGAAAATCCACAGGATGAAAATGTCAGTTTATAATTGAAGCGCTTATTATCAAAGTGACTTTTCTCCAAGAAAAAGTTTTTCAGCGGGGTGGGGGTAGGCATTCACATTCAGCTTTTAATAGAAGTTCAAATGTTTAGTTTTTCAGTTATAGTTTAACGTTGAAGAAACAACCTTTTTTTAACATAATAAAAATTGTATTTGGGTTGCCAGCCAGTTTGTGGTAGGTTTTAGGGAAATACAAGTTATAGGCAATGGTTAATAGGGTAGGAAACATCGTGTGACGAGCATGTTTTGATTATTTCATACCATCGAAATGCGTCAAGAACGAATTAATAATAATAGTCGGCAAATCTCGTACACTAAAAAGTTTATAATTCTATGATTTCATTTGCGCCAGATGACTGGTGTCGAAACTCTGTACTAATAGAATAGCGAAGTGTATTCTTTGTAAGAACTCATTAGATATACAAACAAACTCATGTGATATTATTCGCGTTTCCTCAAGTGCAGATTCACTCTTAGGCTTTTCAGCGCCTCCTTTTATGGATGCGAGCGAGTCAGTTTGATGGGCGCGATCGTAAAAGTTCTGGCAGTCACTGCTAATTTTCTCAGTGGAACGTAAACATGAGGAAACTTCTGGGCGGTCCGAGCAAAACGCTGCTGGTCCTCTATCAAGTGGTTTGTGTATGCAATGGTCTCAGTCAAACACATGTGACTGACACACAGCATGATTTTGTCCTGAAGAATTCCGTTATACGCCGAGAACTGTGCCGTCATCTGGTTTGCGGCATTACTTTATGCCGTGCGTTGGAAATCAGTTTTGAGTTTTCTTAAAAATGTTAATCTTTAAACTGGAAGTTATAATTAAATTTGTTTTCATGAAAATAAACAAAGTGCGTTACATAACCTTTTCCTGGGTGTCAATAAGTGAAGTTCACTTAAAAAAGATATCCAATGCCGTGAGAAATCCACACTTACAGCGCCGTACGGTTTATTGAACTGACGTGTTTAATGGGTTGCGTAAACAGTTGTCAATGGTTAGAGCCCTTGAGTTCATTATATATTTTTGTAGGTAATGCATTAAATCGTATTTACAGAAGGTGACTGTCTTTCAAGAACGTGAATATTCACCAGATTGTTCCTCACGAGGGCAAAAAACTATGCCTCGCATTGTCATCTGAATTTTCTTTGAATGAGATCTTAACTCATAAGGGAAGAGATGTTTGCTTTGTAATTACGTAATAATTCATGACATTTGAAAGAATTGATATGGTGTGTGATGAACGTTGACTTTCACATGAACAAAACATTATCTGAATTTTCCTTGATTTCATTTTGTGTTCGTATTGTAATGTTTACGCATGTAGAAGAAGTAGAAGAACTAATAGAGATCAAAATAATATTCCATTATATAACGCAATTATCTTTTTTCTAAGTTTGTTATTTTATGCTCGCATTTTTTCCTCGGGTCGTATATAACGCATTCCGACTTATGGACTCGAGGGGAAAATATACAAATCCATGAGGGTTGAAGTAACAATCATAACTTTAATCTTACGTTTTCTTAAGACTGTAAATATAATCACGGTAGAAAGGATGTTGATACTTGCATTATTTGGTTACGCTGATTTTTATTAATGGTTTCGACCATTTTATTCTTTATGTCATACGTACTCTTTCTCTTACATTTAATTAACTCGTTTACTTTCTTTCTGCCTTACCAACAAATAGTCAGCCCGTGAATGGGTTTTAGTGAGCTGGCGTCTTATGAGAATGCACATTCGGAAGGATATAAAATTTAATAACAATTATATGAGAATATGCGTATAATGATTGCTAAGCAAATACTATAATTAATGCGAATTGAATCAGTATCGCATAATAAATGACAGAAATTGTATGCATAAAGAATAATCATTTATTATTATGCATTTGCATAATAATCCGTTATTATTATTATTATTATTATTATTATTATTATTATTATTATTATTATTATTATTATTATTATTATTTAATAACTGATTATTTATAGGCGACGTCAGGGAGCCAAAGCATTTAGAGCGTACAAATTGACAATGCGAGTCCGCTAAACAATACTAATATTCGTCTAAGATCAATATCATACAAATGTAAACATATTCAACAGCATTGCAAAGTAACTGGTTTTTGAAGACACTTTTGATCAACATCATGCAATGCATTTCGTTTATCGCGCTTTTCGTCGAAGGCGACTGCATTTTTTGACTGACATTACTGGACTAGAGCGCACGCAGGTCACAACTAGCCGTTCGCTTAAATGGAGCGCGTCTAAAAGAAGGGTGGTGGGAACCTTGACATCTTGGGCGGGGCGGGACGGGGCTGGGCGGGGAGGGGGCGGGGGCGTTGGAAACGAGGTTTCGCGGGCGGCGCAGTGGGTGGGCGAAAGACGCGAGGGAAAAAAGAGAAGCAGGAAGATGCGAAATCCTAAATGTCCTTCGACGCAGAAAACTAGAGGGACAAAGGAAAGGTTGAAAGAGCAGCGCGCCTCCTTACGTCACAAGCTGCGCGACGTTCTTTGCGTTTCCCTTGGGAATGTGTGTGTGTGTGTGTTCCTCGTCTTGGCGTCTCCGCTGCCTTTCTTCCCTTTGTCCCGCGATTCGCTTAAATGTTCCCCATGTGGTGTTTGGGGAAGCAGCTGCGGAACACGTGCATCGGGGTGAGTTGGGAAATGCGGAGGAGTAACTCATTTCGTGGCGTAGAAATTTGATCGAAATAAATGTTCGTAAATAAAAGAATTATTCAATATGTCGAAAAAGTTTGAGTATATTCTTTCCTTGAAATATTACGTAAATAAAGTGTCGAAGTTTGCATATGTATATTGGTCTTATAAACGCTATGAGTTATTATTTGTACCTATTTTTTAGGCTCTTTGGACTCGAATAATGAGGGTGAGGGTGAGAACGTAATTAAACTGCGTTTTATTTACTAACTTTGGAGATGAGCGCCCATTTTTTTCAGATTAGATATTCAGAGAACCGGAAATAGAAGGATAAAGGATTTGCGAAACGTGTAGAATTGAAAATGTGTACTTACTGTAGTTTCTAACTCTTCAATTCGCATTTTTCCTAAAATACCAATTCTCTTTTATAAATAGCAGATGAATGTATTTTTTTCAGTTCCGACAAAATTTAAATCGAGGAGTTCGTATGTTTCTCGTTAGTTTCAGGATTTTTTTCGTTTTGGAGCTTTTCGCGTTTGAGTTGTCTGCTTTGACATTGTTGCATTAACGAAAACAAACGAGCGACATTAACTCGTTATCGGAGGCAGCTCGGCGTTGGCTGTGCGCGCCTTTCGACGCCATCTGGAGGGCCGCGGCGCGTGCGGGGGCTTTGTTCCTGGTCGCGCGGGGCCGCTGGGCGGGGGCCAAATCTCGGCGCGCGCCCCCGCGGGGGCGGGGGAGGCCGATCGCCCGCCGATCTGGGAGGCAGCTGCGCGGGCGGCGCGTGGGCGCTGCCCTGACGAATGTGGGCGCTGATCGATGCGAGCGAAGGCGCACGTGCGACCGATTTGTATTTCGCAGCTGCGGTGGCCTCGTGCACCCCCGAGACGAGTACGTCTTGGCCTTCATGCGCCGAGGAAATTGAAATAGTTATTAATGGGATAAGTAGGCAAAATGTTCTCTCGAGAGCATGTTGCAAATTTCACGTTCATGAATGAAAAATCATACTGTACTCACTGTTGCGTGTTAGTATGTTTTATCATAATATTCTTATTAAATTAATGATTAATAGTAATAAATGGAATTTGATTTATGTTTGCAATTTATTTTACCTAATGAACGGGAATAGAATATCGGATGTTTCGACTCCTTATTTTAATTAATAAAATTTAGACAAATTTATTTGTACTCCAATCGATAGGGATAGCTAAAGTTCAGCTAATTGGAGTTCTGCTATGTAGTGGCCCTAGTAATGAAAGAAAGGTGCGTTTCATCAAGTGGGCTGTGAAGTGTTGAACATGCACAATATAAATACGTTTTCAAGAGTCTTCTAGTGTCTCCGTTTGTTACGTTAGTGTCATATCGTGTAGCAATCTTTTTTTATCTGTTCGTCGTTTAATTTATTCATGAAGACTTATGTAGGCCCTTACATCTGTTTGCATCCAGTAGTCTCGTTCTCAAGTAACTACGAGTACATTTTAATAAATGTAAAAAAAATCAGATTTATGACACCACTTGAGTAATCTCATTCTCTAAGTAACTATTTAAATAAATGCAAGTTGTAGAGTGAAAGAGCGATTTCTTTATTTCTATGTGTTCTTAGAATTTTGTTCAATTATGGAAAACCCATTCTTCCAGTATAAAAATTGACATTCATTTTTATATGCGCGATTACTTCCGAAAGTTGCGCCTTAAATGGTCCCAGTAGCCTGATTGCCAAATTAAAAAAAAAGTCCAGATGGGCCTAGTGTTCATTCAATATTTTATTTGTTTGTGCGTATCTTCGCCGATTTTTTGCATGCTCCGTGTAGTGTGTATCGAGTTGTTTACGAGGGGCCTGAAAAGTAGTGACGCTGATACGCCATCGAGCGATCCGACGAGTTTAGCAAGTGCTGGAATACGACACGAATGTTTGTTTGCTGTCAATCTGCAGCTGTAACAAGTCAAACGGCTGTTAGCATACATTGTGTTATTCCTTTTGTTAAAAAAATATTTCCTTCTCGCCATAAGAGAATAAGATTTATTTTCAATCCCGGTTACAATAAAATCTTGCGAATAATGCCAGTTCTTTATTAAGATATATATTTTATAATGTAGATTCATATTGCTTGATACACTTCATATTGTACTTATTGGCAGTATTTCAATTCTCTGTATTGTTTAGAATTCTTGGAGTATAGAGAAACACTCTTGTGAACACACTATTACTAACTTTAGAACTAACTTGGGTGAGTAAATCCTATTATTAGACTGAGAATCAACTTCGTTGGAAAAGCAATTGCCAAAAAATTCTTCTTCTCTTGACCATCTGTTCTCGATGACTTTTTTATTACTTTCCAGTTATCGAAGCTCAAATCTTCTTTAGACTTTACACTAAACCTTCTGTTTGAATGATGCATAAACATTAAAGAAAACACGTCCGTTCTTAACTGCATATCACGAAATTTATTCGTAGATGTTCTTTCAAAGGTTTTAATGAACGTGTGCTTCGTTGATCTGGTTCGAAACATTCAGATTGAGCTGACTTTCGTAAATATGTCACTCATCGAGTGGCATGTTTCGAGAATAGTGAAAGCATATTCTGTACGAAGTAGACGAACCAACGGTTTTCATAATGAATGCTTCCGTCAACAGTATTTGAAGTGTTTCTGAAAACGTGGTACTTACAGAAAAGTTGCGTTTTGGATACGTTACATTTCATTCGAATAATTGTTAAAATTTTGTTTGCTTATATTTTGTACACTTCGTATACTCAGTGCTTGATTTAAATAGTTTAGGTCCCGCTGCAAATTAATTATTAGTTTAATAGAAATAGTTATACATTCATAATACAATTTTAGAATTATTCCCGAGGCACCGGAACGCCGTTCCGTCGTGTTCCGCGAGAAATGAAGCCATGCGTTCACTAATAATAAAAATACTTGTTTATGAATTTGCTGTAATGAAATTAGGTAATAGGGGATTTACTCCATTTTTGAAACGAATTTATGTGAGAACAAACATTTGTGTGATGTAAATTATACACTTTCCTATAAAAATATCACTTAAAATAAGAAGAAAAATGTAAAATCTTTAAACAACTTACGGTAAATTGGGGGGAAAATATATAGAATAGAACGATGTATTAATCAATGTTTCGTTGCGAGACAGCTGATGTAGATTAATTTCCGCTGTCTGTTGAAAATCTATAAACAGAAGTGAGTTGATAGTTTCATCACTAGAATTTGTGGAGATCAGAATAATAATCATTAATTTTCGTTCTAGTGGTGTCAAGAATTCTTTGTCAAGACCACAATGACTGAGTATTTAGTGTTGTCCTCTGCTTATCTTTTTGGGAAATTGGAAATGTCAGGATTGATGTTCTTCGGAGGTCTGCCTGTCAGGGAGGGATTATCCGAACAGTTTAGACGTCATAATTAATCTGTGTGAGCTGTATGTTATAGATATCAAATCTTTTATTCAATTAGCTACATTTTCCTTCGTTAATTGGTCTTTGTATAAATAGGATTCCATTTCTGAAATTTCCACATACATGCACTCTGTGCTTCGGAGCTCACTGATTTCATGGAAATTTGCGAAGTTCTGGCGATGTTAACGTCAGCCCATCGAAAGCAATCTGGGCCACCACGGGGCAGGTGGGGGTGAGGGCAAGGGGGCGCGAGGGAGTCGGTTTCGAGAACTTTCTATGCGGACGCGCATCGTCACATCTTCGGGCGTCCGCACTCCTCCCCCTGACGCTCGCGTCCGTCCGCGAAGTGCATGCACATATATTTAACGCTGGACCGCCGTCAAGTATGCAGGCGGGGCGCCTACCCCTATCGGACAGGCGTCGCCTCTGGGGGCGGTGTTGCCAGGTTGGCCGTTTTAACCCTAAATTGTTTTGTTTGTTGCCGTTAGTAGTGAATTTCAGGGAGACATTTTTTCAGAGGATAAGACGGGAAGTACATCAGACGGACCCTGTCAGATGGGAATCGGCTCTTAATAACAGTTGCCAAATTAGAGCAACGAAATTATGTCTGTTTTATCGCCCTGTTACGGGAGAATTTCGTGATGGGTTTTTAAGTGAGCGTTAGACTTATACCTATCGGTCGCGTTTCTGACAGCAATGTTGCCAGCCAGGGATTTTGCCCCTAAATTAATGGGTTTTATTCTGTTTAGCGATAAATGTTAGGGAGGAATTTCTTTCAGGTTTTGTGAGTGTTTTACGGTGGGTTATGGTTTTATAATACTTTCGTAAAAATATGATGTGGAAACGCTTGAGTCCACCTGGCTAGTCTCTCTCACTTCCTCCTCCACTAGCACCCTTGCTTCGCATCCGGTGCCGGCTTTTGGAA